GTTGCATGTATACATTTATTCATATAAAGTTTTAAATTTCATCAAAAGTGTTAAATTTCACAAGATACACATATTTTTTCTTTTATATATATATTTAAAATTTTATATATATTTTTTAGTAATACATTTTTCAAAAATATTATTTTTTCTTAAATTTTTAGGATTTATATTATAATATTTGTTAGAACAAAATTGGAAAAAAACTGCGTATATATGTTTTTGTTGTTTATATTTAGTATATAAATATGTATATATTATTTATATGTGTTGCTTATATTATTTAGTATAAAAATATATGTATATATTGTTCATATTATTTTATATATAAATATAAAAATAATATTGTTTATATATTTTTGTAATATATTTATAGAAAATATTTTTTAAAAACAGATTATATTTTAATATTATTTAGTATAAATATATGTATATGTTGTTTATATTATTTAGCGTATAAATATAAACAATAATATATATTTATATATTTTCGTTATATATTTATAGAAAATATTGTTTAAAAAACAGCTTATATTTTAATATTATTTAGAAAATATGTAGTATATTTATAGAAAATATGAATTAAATTTTATAAAAAATAGATTATATTTAATATATATTTATAAAATATGTAAATTTGTAAGAAAAAAGTATATATTCATTTTGAAAATATTTAATATTTTTATAAAAGAATATTTATAAAATTAGTTTTAAAAACACATTATATATTTTTATAAAAGAATAGATTATATATTAATATACACTTTTTATTTAAAAAGTATGAATTAAATCATAAAAATATATAATTTGTAATATATTTAGATAGTATACACTTTTTATAAAGTATATAATTTGTAATATAGTTTTGTTATATATTAATATACACTTTTTATTCAGATAGTATATACATTTTAAAATATTAATATATTTTAGCAATATATTTATAGAAAATATGGATTCAATCATGCAAGTATATAATTTGTAAGTTAAAATATGTTATAAAGTATGTAAATTTGTAAGAAAAAAAGTATATATTTATTTGAAAATACTAAATATGAGTTAAATATATTTATAAAAAACTATAGATTTTTTTATAAAAAGTAAATCTTTAACTAAAAAATTACCTGACATGTTTGTGTCACTCTGTGCCACTAGTCTTCACTTATGCTTGCAATGTAGCAGACTGAATTTTACGAGTTACAATTTAGGAGGAGGTAATCCCCTAGCCAATTTTGCGAGAGGTTTATCTTCTAGCCATTGATTTACGATGCCCTGATTAGCTAGGGATCATATCCCCTCGCAAATTTATGTTTTATGATGGGTTTTTTTTGCATTGGTGAAGGGTTAAACCCCTAGCTAAATACAGTTTTTCTTGTAGTGTATTAGAGGTTAAGAACTCATGTACCACACCCTTCATGCATAAGCCCTGTTTAAAGCTATTCTCCCCCTTATCTTAGAACTCTAGCAAACAATATCTTCCCCAATGGTTTTCCTCTCCTCTCAAATTTCTAGGATTCTCCTCTTGTCTCTTTCTCAAATTCTCTAAGAATTTGATTAAACCTAACTCCCCTCACCTTTTAGAATATACACATAGGGTTTTCTACACAATTCTTTTTAATGACCTCATTAGCCCTCAACACTTTTAATTCATACTATTACCCCAAACTTATTCTACTAAATATCCTCATTGCCCTTTATTTCTCTACTAACTCCTATTTTCCCTATTATATAATTAATTAAACAATTTCTATTATAAAGCCACACATTTCTATTTTTATTTATTTTTAATATTAATTAAAAAATACTTATATTCTAGTTATTTTCTAATTATTAGTATAAACTTATGTATTCTCACCACACTCTACCAGTACCATTACACCCCAACAACACATATAATCACCAAAATTCTTTTAAAGGCACACCAAACACAAAATGATTAAATAAAAATTTAAATAATTCAATTAAATTGATTAATCAAATTTGGGGTGTTACACCATATATTCACATTCCATATGAAGTATGCGAAGAATGTGTGCAGACCAAGTAACACAATAAGATTTCAACAAGGATGCATGAAGAAACTCTCAAGCTATTCATGAAATGATATACTCTTATGTGTGTGGTCCTATTCAGGTGGATTCTATTGGAGATAACAAATATATTGTCATATTCATAGATGAATTCAGTATAAAATTATGGACATACATAATCAAGTTAAAAAGGGATGTGATTGAGGTGTTCACAAAGTTTAAATCTATTGTGGTGAGACAAAGTGGTCAAAAGCTCAAAACTCTAAGGACTAGTGGTGGTGGGAAGTATGTTTCTATTAATTTTGTTGCATTATGCGAAAGAGAAGGGATTGTGCATGAGGCGGTGTCACCCTACACTCTACAAAAAAATGGAACTGCTGAGGGGAAGAATAGGACCATTATGAATATGGTAAGGAGCATGCTGAGAGGAAGTGCTTGAGAATGTTGCATTCGACACATTCTCACCTTATAATTCACAAGTCATTGTTATATGCTTCCCGAGAATCGTAACCAGTGCTCTAGATGCTAGATGTTAGAATCGATCTTGATAATAAGATTCAATTACTTTTTCAATTGATTCATTTTTCACTCTTCACTCGAGTGATTTAATCACACATTAGTTGCAATGTAGCAGACTGAATTTTACGAGTTACAATTTGGAGGAGGTAATCCCCTAGCCAATTTTGCGAGAGGTTTATCTTCTAGCCATTGATTTACGATGCCTTGATTAGCTAGGGATCATATCCCCTCGCAAATTTATGTTTTATGATGGGTTTTTTTTTGCATTGGTGAAGGGTTAAACCCCTAGCTAAATACAGTTTTTCTTGTAGTGTATTAGAGGTTAAGAACTCATGTACCACACCCTTCATGCATAAGCCCTGTTTAAAGCTATTCTCCTCCTTATCTTAGAACTCTAGCAAACAATCTCTTCTCCAATGGTTTTCCTCTCCTCTCCTATTTCTAGGATTCTCCTCTTGTCTCTTTCTCAAATTCTCTAAGAATTTGATTAAACCTAACTCCCCTCACCTTTTAGAATATACACATAGGGTTTTCTACACAATTCTTTTTAATGACCTCATTAGCCCTCAACACTTTTAATTCATACTGTCATACCCCAAATTTGAACTACCCTGTATATAGCTTTCATTTTGTATGCTCGGCCCCTAGCCAGGACTCAGGAAAAATACAAAAAATGTCGCTTTGACTTTTATTTTGTTTTATTTTATTTTGCCCAAGTTCAGGTTCATTTGAGGCCATCAGGATAATAAGGTGAGGTGTTGGGGGAAGTTTATGTGACTTTGACCTGGGTCGTTGGTCAGAGAGGATTTGGTCTCTTGATTGAGACCAGAAAATGCTTTATTCAATTTGCGAGGTTTAGAACTTTCAATCAAGGTGTTATGCTAATTCAGGGCATCGGGGTGGTCTAAGTTACCAGAATATGGCGTATTGTCAGGTGTCAGAGTGTATAACCATTTGGATCCAGTTGTTTCTATAGACAATGTTTTGTGCAAAGTAAACTCTGGAAAGTCTTAGTCAATACCTTTTGTTTGATGTCTCAAGTCCACAGTTTTTTTGTGTAAATAAATTATTACAAAAATACATTGGATCAAAGATTTAGAACACATTCTCATTGGTTGTTCTCACGAGAAGCCCATTCAAAGACTATTGTGGAGAAGGTTAAAACATAGTCGAAAGCCCATTTCATTTCAAAAGTTCAAAAAGAATGTGAACATATCCAAATAAATTACAAGCCAATGGGAATTAAATAACAAGACAGTCATTTTGGCATTTGGTATGTGAAAAAGTTAGTCAAAAGAAAGTTCAATAAAGGCTATAACAACTATCGCATCACACAACAGACGGTACACTGCTCTGTACCTGCAGATTTTCAAAACAAGAAAAATGGGAATTATGTGAATGACAAAGCCAGCCTGCTATCACACAAAAAAAGAGCATGAAAACCAAGGGAAGAAAAGTTGTTGTTTCTGCTCTTCAGTTTGCCTGCACGGATGATGTCTCAAACGACGTCGCCACCGCTAAAGGACTTGTTCGAGATGCTCAGAAACTCGGCGTAAACATTATTCTCATTCATTCAGGCTATTAGATACTGAACCTGCATTGATAAAACATAACAAAGTGTCAAGTTATTGTTGTTTGATGTGTACACACATGACATGAGAGAAGCCATGGCAACATACAATGATATGTCTCCGCATACATCGACCTTATGCTTGTACCGCAAATTTCCGGGTCACGCAATCAATGATACAACCACACGCCATGACCTGCAGCAGATAGTATAAGCCATTTCAATTTCCAATTGCGACTCACATAATTGAAGAACAAAATTGTTCAAAAAGGAAAGGTCACTCACCAGCAACTACCCTGCTACCGGCAGATTCCGCAACTCAGCTCAGCAGCTCAAACCACACACTAAGAAGGTTGTACACAAGCATCAGCCAACCGAACTTCTTTCTAATCAGAGAGAGTTATCAATGATTATTGCGGCAGGCCCTTTTACTACAACCGACAATTTGCTGTTTGAGCCTCCTGTAGAACCGCTGGCATACGCAAAGCGAAGACCACCATAGTTGCGTGTATTGCTGGGGCCATTTATTGACCTCCACCCAAACACACCCTGTGCAAAACTCTCTCCAACCCAACAACATTAACTACACTGCTACAGTTTCAGGTTCCTCTTGATCCCTTCAATTTTATTACTCTTACCTACCCTTCGTTGCTTCCTGTTGTACTTCTTACCTGTCTCTAACAAGGGTCATGTCCCTTTCCTACCAACCTTTATCTGCATACCCTCTTTCACTTTCAAACTCACTGCTTCACCATGCAACTTGGGTCTCCGTTTTTCTTTTGTTTTACTATCTCTGAATCATAAAGTTCACATTTCTATCTTAAGGGGTTATTAAAAATTGAGTCTTTTCTATGAATGATTGGTGAAGTACTGTGATTTAGAAAATGGGTGCTACTAACTCAAGAGCTGAAAAGAATGAAGCTTTATGTATGTGTAAAGAAAGAAAACGGTTCATCAAGGTGGCTATTGATTCTAGATATGATTTAGCTGCTTTGCATGTTTCTTACATTCAATCTCTTAGAAATGTTGGTATAGCTTTAAGAAGATATGCTGAAGCTGAGGTGCTTGTAGAGTCTTCTTTATCGATTTCTGATAAAACGCCTTCTCAAACTAGTTACCCTTCTCCTTCATCGCCGTTTAATGTTGCTGAGGTTGAGGCTTCAGATTCACCTTTGCATAATGAAAGTCCTTTTTCAACACCTCCTCCTTCTCTTAGCTACATGAGATCAAGTGGTAGTGGTTCTGTTACTGTTAAAATTGATGCTTTTGGTAACAAGTACTTGGATGATGAATCCAATGTGGTTTCTTCTATGCCTCCACCTTCTCCTCCACCTGAGCTAGGTGCATCTTGGGATTTCTTTGATCCTGGTGAGGATAGTGAGAGCTTTAGGTTTGTTGTGAATAATAGTGAGTTTAGAGATTGCAAGGATCAGTGGTTTCAACCTGGTTCAGATGATCATTTGGTTGTTTCAAGGGGAGTTAAAGGTTGTGAACAATTGGTTGATGGAAATGTGAGACAGTTAGAGGTGGTAACGGCACCAGGTAGCGCTGATGAAGACATAAATCTTGATGTGGCTGAAAAGGGTGGTGTTGGAAAATCATGTTTAAAGAAGGAGAAGAAGCAGATGGATGAGAACAATGTGTGCACAGAAAGAGAGGATCCTTCAGAGTTCATCACTCATAGAGCCAAAGATTTTCTCTCCAGCATAAAGGATATAGAGCATAAGTTCATTCGAGCTTCGGAATCTGGTAGAGATGTTTCAAGGCTGTTAGAGGCAAACAAAATCAACAGCATCAAGGATTCGTAAAATATGACAGATACAGTGCATCACAACAAAACCAATACGTATAACATGTAGTACTTACATCAGTTGCTAAGATGATCATGTTGCAATAAACCAGACGGTTACGCGAATCTCGCACTGAAAATCTTCATCCGTACTCACAACAAAAAACTCATGCAGCGAGAAAACCTCAAACTCAATGTAGCACAAAACCTCACCTCCAAACCTGCAATTGAAAAATAACAATATCATTGCGACATGCCGAGCCGCGTACACACTGAAAATTTTGAGAAAAAATTATGTTACCGCAACCTGCAGAACATGTCGCAGTAATGCCAAACAACATGTACGACGCGTTTTCTTTCACTCCAAAACGCATCATAAACAACAACTCACAATAAACTGTCACATACCGCACATCCACTTCTCGCAGCGAGCAAGCCAACCTTCATTTTGTAACCAAAAATTGCAGCTTTGTTTGCATTCGATATTCAATCAAGAAGCTGATCAAATTCTCTTCAAGTATGTTGGAGCTTCGCTTTTGTTCTTGTCGAGCTATGTACGAAGAAAAGTTACACAGAAGTTGGCATTATGCATACTGTCCCAAAACCTTAAACAAATTCTTACGGTTGATTTCACAAGTCTTCAATGCTTTGAGAAATGATCACGGTTGAAGCTTGTCCAAGGTTGTGGGTTCATGGCTTTGTAAAGATACGAGAGGTAAGATGATAGGTAATTCCAAAGAACATCATAAATGTAACAACAAGGATTCTCGGCCAGAGTCGAATTTGCAGTAACAATTCACTGTTACAAGAAAAATGAGAGCCAAATTGAGAGGGATTAATCATTCCATCAATAAGTCAAAACAGGGCAGTGTGTGACCACAAGTTTCACAGTAGTAAAAAAAGTAAAAATATTGCAGTGAGTGTAATTCACAATGAAATCAATAGCAACAAGTATGGTCCTGTAATGAATCGTACCGTAACTTGATAGAAAACACACACCCCTGCTACAAAAGGACAACAGTAGCAGCCAGCACTACAAAAACCTGCAACAGCAGAGACAACCATTACAATACCAACCCACTCACAATTCAAAAAGAAAAAAAGTTGTTGAAATATCCAAAAGGGACCTGCAAAACGACAAAGAGGGAAGCAAATATCAGCTTGGGATATTATCCATTAAACCCTATAAAACTCGATTCTGAAAAGAGGATTGGAGGGGGCCTCCAACCGAAAACATAGCCACTCAAAAAACCCTAGCCGCCGGTTGCTTTGAAGAAGCTCTTCTCCCATTTTTTCTTCTTCAATCCCCCAACCCCCATAACTTGAGAGCTTTCAAAAAAAAAAAGGACCAAATCTTCCGAAATTTTCGTCACTTTCATCACATTCTTCGAAACTCCCTCTGTTCATGATTCAACTTCCTTCAAATCTTCTCAGATTTCCATTCATCACTATACCCTTTTGAACCTTCGAACCCTCTTTCAAATCTTCTTCGTTAAACCCCATCGACTCGCCCTTTCCTTCAACCTACCTCCTTTATAATTAAAAACCCATTCGCCATTCAATCTTTTTCTCATCGTCATCCCCTCAACAGCCTTCAACCCAAACTAACCGAAAAAAAACAGAAATCAAAAACTAGAAAACAAAACCCAGAAATAAGACGAAGAATGGGAAGAAATGTTTTGAGACGAAAACCAAGTGTGTTTCGAACGGACCTGCGTATTGAATCCGAATCTTCCTTCCTATGACCATCATGAGCCTTTGATATCGTTGACCCTGTTAAGGATGATGAAGGGGTCATTACCACATCCTGTTTTTTCGTTTTAGTTTTAAAAAATATAACTTGTGGGTAAGGTCATTATCGGATCTTTCATTTGACATACACACCGTTCAACATTGTTTTTCTTTTTCATTTATTTTATTTTTATTTATTTATTTTATTATTTTATTACTTTTATTTTTTTAACAGATTGTATATATACGTATTTTTTTATATATTAGTTTTAAAATGGACTGTTATGTAAATATATATATATATATATATATAATTTATTATTAATTAACATCTATATATTGTTTTCTTTTTTTAATGTTAGAATTTATAATACTTTTTACTTTTAAGGTTGGATTTATTTCTCATTTTGTATTTGGGAATTTTATTCCACTTTCACTCTTTTTTAGGTCAATACCCCGAGTTATAATTTGTCAAATTATTGACAAATAATAACAAGCCCGAGACCAATTTTTTCAAAATTTTCATTTTCGTTTTTATCCACTTTTTTCTTATTCCCTAGTCAATGATGACTTTAATGATTATTATCGGTCAAATTATTGATAGATGATAATTCAGTCAAGACTATGTTACTTTCGCTTCAATTTATCTTTTAAACATTTTCTCGAAAAAAACTCCAAAAGAAGGAGATTCTTGAAATCTAGCATTTCTTGGATCTTCGAGTGAATAATTCTCGAGACACGCTCTTGAGTTGTTATTCATTCAATCTTTTGATTTTCTCAAACGCATTTTCTCAACATTTTCTCGATTAAAACTCCGAAAGAAGGAGATTCTTGGAGTCTAGCATTCCTTGAATTTTCGAGTGAATAGTCCTCGAGGCACGCCCTTTGAGTCGTTATTCACTCAACCTTTCGACTCTTTCAGATTCAATCATTTTCAAACATTCTCCTAAGTCGAATGCTCGTCCGCATTCGCAACCCACATTTTATTCACAACTCCTCGTGGTTTCGATATTAGGAGAACCCTCAGGGACTTATATCGTTTCTCACAATCCTAACCCTTGACACGTCGTCAAGTCGGTTTCATTTTCAATCAAATCCTCGACACGTCGTTGAGCCAGTTTAAAACAACTTCCTTTTTGGCCTCGCATGCCATCTTTCGATTCGATCTTTTCACATACGTTTTTTTAAACTTACGAAAGAGGGATATTTTTAGAATCTAGCATTCTTTGAATATTCGAATGAGTAACTCTCGAGGCGCGCCCTTGAGTTGTTATTAGTTCATTCTTTCGATTTCAAAGCATCCAACTCTTTATCTTCAACTTATTCAGTCAATTCCCGAAAGAATTGAGTTCTTGGAGTTTCGCATTCCTTGAATTCTTGAGTGACAAGCTCTTGAGGCGCGCTCTTGGGTTGCTTGTCAGTCACTCTTTCGTCTCTCTCAAACTTCCAAACTATTCAACCTCACCTTTTCGTGGTTGTTACCACGAACTACGACTGCTCTGATTCTTCATTCTCGTTTGAATGTAAGATACGTAGGCACAAGATTGCGATGATCTTGGCGAGCACACTTCCATTTTTTCTCCCCTATTCCATACTTCTATCCATCTTCCGTTTCCTCCCAACCTTTCCCGTAGTCGAACTACGACGCTCTGATTTCTCATTCTCGTCTGGATGAGCATACGTAGGCACAAGGGCCCCAATCCTTGGCGAGTGCCCTATCCTCTAACCACCCATCTCTCCTTTGCGTCTTTAACCTTTTAACCTACCGATTCTACCTTTAACAACGAGAAGAAAATAAGTAAACCTAAAACAACACTCCCCACAATTACCTTAAGAGGTTCTCGTCGAGTACGACGGACGTGAGGGGTGCTAATACCTTCCCCTCACGTAACCGACTCCCGAACCCGGAACTTGGTTGCGACAGCCCTGTTCCTATCCATTTCGTTTTTAAGAGGTTTTTCGATATTTTCCTCTCCCATTTGTTCGGGAAAAATAAAGTTCGGTGGCGACTCTGTCGAACCGCATTTCCGCGCCTTTCGCGCGAGGGTCGCGTTCTCCGAAATGTCTCCGTGATTTTTCGAGGTGCGACCGGTGGCGACTCTGCTGGGGACATTTTTGCTCCATGCAAGGAGAGAGTCGAGCATATCTTTTGGTTTGTGAGAAGTGTTTGTTTTTTATTTGTTTTCTTCTTGTATTTGTTCTCTTGTGGATTTTATTTGTGCCTGTTATCTCGCTTGCCTGTTGGTTCTTGGGATGACATCATGAGTAAGGCTCTACGCCCGAGCTTTGGTAAAAGCAGAGAGAACACTTAGTTTAGATTTGGTAGTCGAGTAGTGTTAGTCACCAAGGATTCACTCCTTGTGTGCCTAGCATGAAAGCTCCTCCAGAGGAGACCTATTCGTAGATCTCGTTGTAACACAGCTAGCCTGTTGCACGACTTGATTAATGAAGGGTCCGTGATTCTGGGAACCTTTTGTTAGCACCAATTCCGATATTGGTGGTCGTGTAGTGTTAGTCTCCAAGGACTCGCTCCTTGTGCGCCTAGCACGAGGACCCCGCTCAGGAGAGACCTTATCGTCATTATCGTCGTAATACAACCAGCCTGTTGCGTGACGCTAATACGACTAGTGTCTGTGATCCAGGGAACCAAACGTAGAAACCATCCCGTAAGTGGGTTTATGGGTAGAATGTCTAGATCTTCCCGCATAGGTCATACCTGTCAATGTTCTTTGAGCAGGAATTATGTTTACAGTTACCAGCTTCAGGAGCTGTTCGAACTATGATCTTGGGATCCTGGATCTTGTATCTTGCATTGCATCTTGCATATCATTCGCATTGCATTTCATATGTTGTGCATTTTGCATTTCCAGTCCTCCAACAGAATCTTATGTCTTCGTTCCTTGCTCTCCAGTAAATCAAGCTGATTCCTCGACACTAATACGCAACTAGAGCCAATACCAGACGAATGATGGAGCAGATTCAACAGGAGCAAGTCGCCTTCAAGGAAGAGTTGGATTCCATGAAAGGAAAGATCGACCAGATCCTCGAAGCCATCCTCGCGGCCAGAAGAGAGGAAGAACAGCGTGAAGCCGCTGCTGTCATCAACAATGGCCAAGGACAGGGGTCTACTGCCATCCCTTTAGTTCCAATTCCAAATCCTCATGGGATGCCGTTGAACTTCAACAACGCAGTCGAAGGAAACACTTCTCAGCCAATCCCTGCGCCTGGAGTTACTGTTGGAGTTATCCCGCAGGCCCAGCCTACTGCTGTGCAAATCCCAGTTCCTCA